TCCAAATCCAGCCTCTTTCTCAGAAGAACCTCTTTCATTTTTGTTGATTTCATTTCCTGCAACGTCGACACTTCGACCTCCGCCTGCATAAGTAGTATAGAATTGCAATAATTTCATTACTGCAATAGATCTACTGCTATGAAAGCATCAGCACCAGCAAAAGGAGCATTCTAGTTCTGCTAGAAATTAACAACATAAAATAAATTAAATGGAGATCATTTGGTTTATTTATTTCATACATGTTGAAGACTGTCCAAAGACAGAATGTTAGGCTCATTTATTTCATTTTCTGAAGCTGCTATGTGCCTTGTAAAATCATGAAATTGTTGTTGCTCCACTAACGGTGTATCCATCAAGTTCCACAGCTCTACGAGGGTAGTTGCAATATCTTGAAGCTAAGCAACAAGAAGATCAGCATTAGTAGCAGAGATCAATATACAACTTGGTTTGGAACAATTAAATTGACATTTATACTAACCCTAAGCAATCTCTGTTTTTTGAGATCTTTCAATCTGTTGATTGTCGCGGACAACTTAATGATCATATCTTTGCTAATGTTTTTCGAGACACTGAAGTCGTCCATGGTTGGATCAATATCAACAATAGTTTGTTTGTAGTCAATCCCAAGCACCACACATAATGAATTGATGGATGTCAAGTGGTCAAGCACCAGCTTCAGGCGGTCACTCTGAAAATGTTTAGGAGATTCTGTTAGACAAATGGTAACTCTTGAAATTCTTTATAGCAGAGGAAATATTTCCAACAGTATGAAACTCTACAACATGAACGTGGAATGATACTTGCCATTTGTTTTTTCTCTATACTAAGCAGTTCCGAAGTGAAAGTTTTACCATACTCTTTTTGCAGAACTTGAAACTTACTGCAACTTTTCTATTCAAAGCAGCAATCTCAGTGCTAAAACTAGCAGAGTTTGAAGACAAGGGAAGAGATACAACAACAACAACAACAACTAATATTACTACTACTGCTGCTGCTGCCGTGCCTCCGCCCCAAACAAGTTGGGGTCGGCTATATGAATCCCCACCTCTTTCTTTAAGCTCAATTCATATCAGTGTGATATTTAAATAAATAATATAATAACACAAGGAAAAAGATGAAACAGAAAAGACCTTCTCTTTTTGCAAAGCAATCAAATAGTTCTTCATTTCTTCTAGTCTTCTGACAGACAAATCATTCTCATCAATGACGCTCATTTGTTTATTCCCTTGGAAGTGTACACAGAGCTCTTTCGATATACACTGTATCTGATCGACAACAGCTGCAAATTGGTCCATCCTCTCTCTTTTTCTCTTCTTCATCTCTTCTAACTTAGGCTTAATGGCCTTAAGCTCTTCATTCAAACTTTTGGAACTCTGCTATATAGGAGGCTAAATGTTAAAAAGGTTCTATATACCAAGCAAAAGATCTAAAGTTTTACTGAATGCTTCAAAAGAGAGTCTCTAACCTGCCTAGCATATGATGATTGTTCTCCTAGCGCTGCACAAATCTTTGCTAATTCTGCTTCAGAGTTAGCAACAGTTTGCTGCAGTTGAGCCCGAGAACGACTTGCCTGATTCACTTTTCTTTTATATATCTCTAAACACTCTTGTTGGAGTTCAAAAAGCATCTTATCT